ACACACACACGCACACAGACGCACAAACACACACACGCACACAGACACACAAACACACACACGCACACAGACGCACAAACACACACATGCACACAGACGCACAAACACACACAAACACACACACGCACACAGACGCACAAACACACACACGCACACAGACACACACACGCACACAGACGCACAAACACACACAAACACACAGACGCACAAACACACACACGCACACAGACACACAAACACACACACGCACACAGACGCACAAACACACACAAACACACACACGCACACAGACGCACAAACACACACACAGACGCACAAACACACACAGAAACACAAGTTAAATGATAATAGATGGAGTTTGGTATGAATAATTCAAAGATCTTAGGGTGTATTTAGGGTGTATTTAGGGTGTATTTAGAGTGTGTATTTAGAGTGTATTTACAGTGTATTTAGAGTGTATTTACAGTGTATTTAGTGTGTATTTAGAGTGTATTTAGAGTGTATTTAGGGTGTATTTAGAGTGTATTTAGAGTGTATTTAGGTGTGTATTTAGAGTGTATTTAGAGTGTATTTAGGGTGTATTTAAGGTGTATTTAGGGTGTATTTAGGGTGTATTTAGTGTGTATTTAGAGTGTATTTAGGGTGTATTTAAAGTGTATTTAGAGTGTTTTTTGGGTGTATTTAGAGTGTATTTGGGGTGTATTTAGAGTGTTTTTGGGTGTATTTAGAGTGTATTTAGGGTGTATTTAGGGTGTATTTAGAGTGTTTTTTGGGTGTATTTAGAGTGTATTTAGGGTGTATTTAGAGTGTATTTAGAGTGTTTTTTGGGTGTATCTAGAGTGTATTTAGAGTGTATTTAGGGTGTATTTAGAGAGTATTTAGGCTGTATTTAGGGTGTATTTAGAGTGTATTTAGAGAGTATTTAGAGTGTATTTAGGGTGTATTTAGAGTGTATTTAGAGTGTATTTAGGGTGTATTTAGGGTGTATTTAGAGTGTATTTAGGGTGTATTTAAAGTGTATTTAGAGTGTTTTTAGGGGTGTATTTAGAGTGTATTTAGGTGTGTTTAGAGTTTAGTGTATTTTAGGGTATTTAGTATTTAGAGTGTATTTAGAGTGTATTTAGGGTGTATTTTAGAGTGTATTTAGAGTGTTTTTTGGGTGTATTTTAGAGTGTATTTAGAGTATTTAGGGTGTATTTAGGGTATTTAGAGTGTATTTAGAGTGTATTTAGGGTGTATTTAGAGTGTATTTAGGGTGTATTTAGAGTGTATTTAGAGTCTTTTTTGGGTGTATTTAGAGTGCTTTTTGGGTGTATTTAGTGTATTTAGGGTGTATTTAGAGTGTATTTAGGGTGTTTTTAGTGTGTATTTAGGGTGTATTTAGAGTGTTTTTTGGGTGTATCTAGAGTGTATTTAGAGTGTATTTAGGGTGTATTTAGAGAGTGTTTTTTAGGCTGTATTTAGGGTGTATTTAGAGTGTATTTAGAGTGTATTTAGGGTGTATTTAGAGTGTATTTAGGGTGTATTTAGTGTGTATTTAGAGTGTATTTGGGGTGTATTTAGAGTGTTTTTTGGGTGTATTTAGAGTGTATTTAGAGTGTTTTTTGGGTGTATCTAGAGTGTATTTAGAGTGTATTTAGGGTGTATTTAGAGAGTATTTAGGGTGTATTTAGGGTGTATTTAGAGTGTATTTAGGGTGTATTTAGGGTGTATTTAGAGTGTATTTAGTGTGTATTTAGGGTGTATTTAGGGTGTATTTAGGGTGTATTTAGAGTGTATTTAGAGTGTATTTAGGGTGTATTTAGGGTGTATTTAGAGTGTATTTAGTGTGTATTTAGGGTGTATTTAGAGTGTATTTAGAGTGTATTTAGGGTGTATTTAGGGTGTATTTAGGGTGTATTTAGTGTGTATTTAGAGTGTATTTAGAGTATATTTAGAGTGTATTTAGAGTGTATTTAGGGTGTATTTAGGGTGTATTTAGGGTGTATTTAGTGTGTATTTAGAGTGTATTTAGGGTATATTTAGTGTGTATTTAGTGTGTATTTAGTGTGTATTTAGAATGTATTTAGAGTGTATTTAGAGTCTTTTTTGGGTGTATTTAGAGTGCTTTTTGGGTGTATTTAGTGTATTTAGGGTGTATTTAGAGTGTATTTAGGGTGTTTTTAGTGTGTATTTAGGGTGTATTTAGAGTGTATTTAGGGTGTATTTAGAGAGTATTTAGGCTGTATTTAGGGTGTATTTAGAGTGTATTTAGAGTGTATTTAGGGTGTATTTAGAGTGTATTTAGGGTGTATTTAGTGTGTATTTAGAGTGTATTTGGGGTGTATTTAGAGTGTATTTTTGGTGTATTTAGTGTATTTAGAGTGTATTTAGAGTGTTTTTTGGGTGTATTTATGTATTAGAGTGTATTTAGAGTGTATTTAGGGTGTATTTAGAGAGTATTTAGGGTGTATTTAGGGTGTATTTAGAGTGTATTTAGGGTGTATTTAGGGTGTATTTAGAGTGTATTTAGTGTGTATTTAGGGTGTATTTAGTGTGTATTTAGAGTGTATTTAGAGTGTATTTAGGGTGTATTTAGGGTGTATTTAGAGTGTATTTAGAGTGTATTTAGAGTGTATTTAGGGTGTATTTAGTGTATTTAGGGTGTATTTAGGGTGTATTTAGGGTGTATTTAGGGTGTATTTAGTGTATTTAGAGTGTATTTAGAGTGTATTTAGAGTGTATTTAGAGTGTATTTAGGGTGTATTTAGGTGTATTTAGAGTGTATTTAGGGTGTATTTTAGAGTGTATTTAGAGTGTTAGAGTGTATTTAGAGTGTATTTAGTGTATTTAGGGTGTATTTAGGGTGTATTTAGAGTGTATTTAGTGTGTATTTAGTGTATTTAGAGTGTATTTAGAGTGTATTTAGGGTGTATTTAGGGTGTATTTAGAGTGTATTTAGGGTGTATTTAGGGTGTATTTAGAGTGTATTTAGGGTGTATTTAGAGTGTATTTAGGGTGTATTTAGGGTGTATTTTGTAGAGTGTATTTAGAGTGTATTTTGTATTTAGGGTGTATTTAGAGTGTATTTTGTAGGGTGTATTTAGGGTGTATTTAGGGTGTATTTAGGGTGTATTTAGAGTGTATTTAGAGTGTATTTAGAGTGTATTTAGGGGTGTATTTAGAGTGTGTATTTAGAGTGTATTTAGATTTAGTGTATTTAGAGTGTATTTAGTGTATAGAGTGTATTTAGGTGTATTTAGATGTTTGGGTGTATTTAGAGTGTATTTAGAGTGTGTATTTAGAGTGTATTTAGTGTATTTTAGGGTGTATTTAGGGTGTATTTAGAGTGTATTTAGAGTGTATTTAGAGTGTATTTAGGGTGTATTTAGGGTTATTTAGATTTAGTGTATTTAGAGTGTATTTAGGGTGTATTTAGAGTGTATTTAGGGTGTATTTAGAGTGTATTTAGAGTGTATTTAGGGTGTATTTAGAGTGTATTTAGGGTGTATTTAGTGTGTATTTAGAGTGTATTTAGAGTGTATTTAGGGTGTATTTAGGGTGTATTTAGGGTGTATTTAGTGTGTATTTAGAGTGTATTTATTATTTAGAGTGTATTTTATTTAGTGTGTATTTAGAGTGTATTTAGAGTGTATTTAGAGTGTATTTAGAGTGTATTTAGAGGTGTATTTAGTGTATTTAGGTGTATTTAGAGTGTTAGTGTGTATTTAGGGTGTATTTAGGGTGTATTTAGAGTGTATTTAGAGTGTATTTAGGGTGTATTTAGGGTGTATTTAGGGTGTATTTAGGGTGTATTTAGTGTATTTAGAGTGTATTTAGGGTGTATTTAGAGTGTATTTAGGGTGTATTTAGAGTGTATTTAGGGTGTATTTAGGTTGTATTTAGAGTGTATTTAGGGTGTATTTAGGGTGTATTTAGGGTGTATTTAGGTGTGTATTTAGAGTGTATTTAGAGTGTATTTAGAGTGTATTTAGGGTGTATTTAGGGTGTATTTAGATGTGTGTATTTTAGGTGTATTTAGAGTGTATTTAGGGTGTATTTAGGGTGTATTTAGGGTGTATTTAGAGTGTATTTAGGGTATATTTAGTGTGTATTTAGTGTGTATTTAGAGTGTATTTAGGGTTTATTATATTTATTGTTTTGTCCTGGACAAAGTGCAGATGGTTCAGAGTCGAGTCTCAGACGCTCGTTCAGGATCAGAGTTACTGTTCTGCACATGTTCTGGGTGAGATTGACATCAGGTCGCGGTCATGAAGCCGCCGATACAGTCGAGCTGCTCGATTATGGGAAAAATCATTATCACGATTATTTTGGTCAATATTGAAATCACGATCATTCACACATTATTTAAACTTTGTGAAGATGTCGTTTCAACTCGATTATATGAGTTTGGAGATCGTTAGACACACAAATCAAAATATCGTTCATTTGCACAGCCTTACGATACATATCCCGATACAGACAACTTTAGATTTGATACGGTTCAATAAAAATAAAAATAGTCTAAATCATGTGTGATACTAAAACTGTTTGTTAAACTTCGTCTTGTGCAAAGTTCTTATGAAACACAAACATTTTAATCGTCCAAACAATGAAAATGTCAAATGTGTCGCATAAACGAGTTTCCTTCCTCTGAACAAACAACAAAACTGTAACTAAATAATTTAGTAAAATAAACCAAAAATCCTCTTGACGATATAGCAGAGCCACAGAGCCACAGAGCCTCAGAGCCACAGAGCCACAGAGCCTCAGAGCCACAGAGCCTCAGAGCCACAGAGCCTCAGAGCCTCAGAGCCTCAGAGCCTCAGAGCCTCAGAGCCACAGAGCCACAGAGCCACAGAGCCACAGAGCCACAGAGCCTCAGAGCCACAGAACCACAGAGCCACAGAGCCACAGAGCCTCAGAGCCTCAGAGCCACAGAGCCACAGAGCCTCAGAGCCACAGAGCCTCAGAGCCTCAGAGCCTCAGAGCCACAGAGCCACAGAGCCACAGAGCCTCAGAGCCTCAGAGCCACAGAGCCACAGAGCCACAGAGCCACAGAGCCTCAGAGCCTCAGAGCCACAGAGCCACAGAGCCTCAGAGCCACAGAGCCACAGAGCCACAGAGCCTCAGAGCCTCAGAGCCACAGAGCCACAGAGCCACAGAGCCTCAGAGCCACAGAGCCACAGAGCCACAGAGCCTCAGAGCCTCAGAGCCACAGAGCCTCAGAGCCACAGAGCCACAGAGCCACAGAGCCACAGAGCCTCAGAGCCACAGAGCCACAGAGCCACAGAGCCACAGAGCCTCAGAGCCACAGAGCCACAGAGCCACAGAGCCACAGAGCCTCAGAGCCTCAGAGCCTCAGAGCCACAGAGCAAGACGAGCCTCGTCTGCTGCTTCATTTTGACTAAACCAAAAACACGCTGTGAAAAACTTTCTACACAGACGTTTCTCACTGGAAGAAGCCGCCTCAAGAAATGATGCTGATTCACAATCAGCTGCTTTAAAAATCATCAAGAAATCAGTGCAAACCAAACTGTGATGAAGTGATGAGTTTTCTGCTGTTCCCTCATGACAGAAGCTGCTGTTATTTCTTTGACCGTGAATCTGCGGTCGGTGTGTTTTTGTGTGATTTTATGATGAGGCTGGAGCCCAGGGACCCGTAAACAAATAAACAAAGTATGAAGATGGACGACCTGTGCGCGTTTGTTGGGACCCGGAGGGAGTTCGCCGTCAGCAGAATCACAGAATCATATGAACTTCCCGGACAACGGAGCATCTGCACCGGACTTTCAGACTGTGTGGACAGAGACGCTGTCCTGAGCGTGAGACGATTGGTGTTCAACTCTGGACACAAGGACGAGGTGAGGAGGGTGCGACGGCAGCTGAAGGTCCAGCTCAGGCAAAGGCAAGAAGCGTACGGGAAGAAACTGGAGGAAAAACTCCAACAGAACAACACGGAGACGTGATGAAGAGGATGAAGACCATCACGAGCTTCAACACCAGAACAAAGCAGCAGGACAATCTTAGATGTTTACGCTCTTAGACGTTTTGCCATTTTGGCGAGGAAGCTGCTGTGATCCGCCTCCTTCACCGGCTCCTCGCACCTGGACGGAGGAGAATGTTTTTGTTTTTATTCGTTGCCTTTAACACCGTCCAGCCCTTGGTGATGAGTGACAGGACAGGTGCTGGGACAGGTGCTGGGACAGGCGCTGGGACAGGTGCTGGGACAGGTGCTGGGACAGGTGCTGGGACAGGTGCTGGGACAGGTACAGGCTGGGACAGGTGCTGGGACAGGTGGGACAGGTGCTGGGACAGGTGCTGCTGGGACAGGTGCTGGGACAGGTAATGGGACAGGTGCTGGGACAGGTGCTGGGACAGGTGCTGGGACAGGTGCTGGGACAGGTGCTGGGACAGGTGGGACAGGTGCTGGGACAGGTGCTGGGACAGGTGCTGGGACAGGCGCTGGGACAGGTGCTGGGACAGGTGCTGGAGGAAAAGGACACCAGTGGAGCTGTCACCATCCATGACCTGAGGTGGAAACAGTGACTGATACAAGGACCTGAGTGTCCAGGTGAACCAATGACTCGACTGGAGGGACTGAACTGTGACGCTGTGGACAAGAAGAACATGAAGAGACTCGACTTCCTGAGAAAACTCAGGTCTTTCACTGTACAGAAGGTTCTGGAGATGTTCTCCAATCTGTAGACAACAACTCACCCTTAAAGAACAGATAATACTCCCTACAACGGTACGCCTCACCCTCATGACAGATAATACTCCCTACAACGGTACGCCTCACCCTCATGACAGATAATACTCCCTACAACGGTACGCCTCACCCTCATGACAGATAATACTCCCTACAACAGTACGCCTCACCCTCATGACAGATAATACTCCCTACAACGGTACTCCTCACCCTCATGACAGATAATACTCCCTACAACGGTACTCCTCACCCTCATGACAGATAATACTCCCTACAACGTACCCTCACCCTCATGACAGATAATACCCCTCCCTACAATGACAGATAATACTCCCTACAACTGTACTCACTCATGACAGATAATACTCCCTACAACCTTCACCCTCATGACAGATAATACTCCCTACAACGGTACTCCTCACCCTCATGACAGATAATACTCCCTACAACGGTACTCCTCACCCTCATGACAGATAATACTCCCTACAACAGTACGCCTCACCCTCATGACAGATAATACTCCCTACAACAGAACTCCGACCCATTATGTGACAGATGAGTTTGTGTTTCTTCTTGTGTGACTCTGATCTTCTGTGTTTATATTTGGATATTTGTCTTTGTTTATTCATATAATTTATGTCTAATTAGTTCTTCTTTAGACCCTCTTTAGTCCCGGTTTAGTCCTGGTTCAGTCCCTCTTTAGACCTGGTTTAGTCCCTCTTTAGTCCTGGTTTAGTCCCTGGTTTAGTCCTGGTTTAGTCCTGGTTTAGTCCCTGGTTTAGTCCTGGTTTAGTCCGTGGTTTAGTCCTGGTTTAATCCTGGTTTAGTCCCTCTTTAGTCCTGGTTTAGTCCCTCGTTTAGTCCTGGTTTAGTCCCTGGTTTAGTCCTGGTTTAGTCCCTGGTTTAGTCCTGGTTTAGTCCCTGGTTTAGTCCTGGTTTAATCCTGGTTTAGTCCCTCTTTAGTCCTGGTTTAGTCCCTGTTTTAGTCCTGGTTTAGTCCCTGGTTTAGTCCTGGTTTAGTCCTGGTTTAGTCCTGGTTTAGTCCCTGGTTTAGTCCCTGGTTTAGTCCTGGTTTAGTCCTGGTTTAGTCCTGGTTTAGTCCTGGTTTAGTCCTGGTTTAGTCCCTCTTTAGTCCTGGTTTAGTCCTGGTTTAGTCCCTGGTTTAGTCCTGGTTTAGTCCCTGGTTTAGTCCCTGGTTTAGTCCTGGTTTAGTCCTGGTTTAGTCCTGGTTTAGTCCTGGTTTAGTCCCTGGTTTAGTCCCTGGTTTAGTCCCTGGTTTAGTCCCGGTTTAGTCCTGGTTTAGTCCTTTAGTCCTGGTTTAGTCCCTGGTTTAGTCCTGGTTTAGTCCCTGGTTTAGTCCCGGTTTAGTCCTGGTTTAGTCCTGGTTTAGTCCCTGGTTTAGTCCCTGGTTTAGTCCTGGTTTAGTCCCTGGTTTAGTCCTGGTTTAGTCCTGGTTTAGTCCCTGGTTTAGTCCCTGGTTTAGTCCCTGGTTTAGTCCCTGGTTTAGTCCTGGTTTAGTCCCTGGTTTAGTCCTGGTTTAGTCCTGGTTTAGTCCTGGTTTAGTCCTGGTTTAGTCCTGGTCCCTGGTTTAGTCCTGGTTTAGTCCTGGTTTAGTTCTGGGTGCGCACTCTGGAGTGTCAGGGATTTCCCGGGGAGCGCTGGAGTTTTGGTTTTGTTTTGGACCTTGTGCTAAAGTCTGAACATCTGTGAAACATAAATATAAATGTAAACATATAAAAGGACAAAAAGTGGACATATACGGTGTATGGCGCGGGGTGAGGGTTCTAATCCGGGTCTGGTTCTGAATCAAACCGAGTCCAAACCAGGACTAAAGGTTCTAGAGTCTCTGAGTCCTGGTAACTCACTTTAAACACGGCTAACGCTAGCCATAGCATTTGTAGTCCTTTACTGTGAGGCTAACGCTAGCTACGGTTCTGCAGAGGTTCGGGTCTCCTCTGGATCCTGGGCTCCGGTTCGGCCCGGTACTCACATGAACCAGCGGCTCCTCGGCGGCAGGTCCGCGGGCTGTCGGTGCGCCTGTGCCGGCTTCAGGGGGACGGATGCCCCGCGGTGCTGGAGCTCATGTCAGCGCGGAGGAGGCTGCGGAGGGCGGCTGCGCACGGCTGCTCCCCGGGCTCTGGTCCCGCTCTGGTCCCGCTCTGGTTCTGGTTCAGTCCTGGTTCAGTCCTGGTTCAGTCCGGGCTCGGGTCGGTGCTGGGGCAGAGCAGTGGAAACCCCCTCTGCCGCTTCCGCCCAGGAAATCCCCCCGTGCGCTGCCCCGCCGCCAGGGGGCGCTCTGCCGTGTGCAGTGTGAGGAGGACGGCAGCAGGGGGCGCTACAGGCCCAGCTATCCTATTACTATAGATCATATTTATTATGTTGATAACATGTTTATTATCATATTTATTATGTTAATAACATGTTTATTATCATATGTATAATCTACAGTTTGTTTAAGTTCTTTTTACTTTAATCAACCCTTCAGACCAGGTTTTAACTTTTATTTTGAAAGGGTAAAATCTTTTTTCTTTTTTTTCAGAACCAATCTTATATTAAAATACTATACTATTTTAACATTTAATTATTATTATATTATAATACATAGTTTTGAGTTTTATTTCGGTTTTATTCAGGTACGCATGCGCACTCAAACACGTACCTTGTGGAGCCGGAAGAACGAGCTGCAGCAGCAAAACCGGAACAAGAGAACAACAAGAAGAACAAGAACAACAACAACCTCCAGAACCTCCAGAACCTTTAGACCCGGACTCAGACCCGGACTCCGCCTCTTCAGCGCAGCTCTGTCCGGACACAGGAGCCTGGTCGCGGTGAGTTTTTTACAGAGTCTACGGGACTTTGTAGCTAATGGAGCTAACAGAGCTAATCATGCTAACAGAGCTAATGGTGCTAACAGAAATGTGGCGCATGCGCAGGAACAGTTCTCAGGTGAAACGAAAAACATCAAAAGGTTTTAGGGTTTAAAATGTTTTTAATGTTATTAAAGGGATATGATCATTGGCTGTATAAACATTAGAAGGTTTTAGTCTTTAAAAAGTACAAAAAAGTTTTTAACGATGATTAAAGAGCTAAGATCATAGTGACGTGAGACCACGTGACGCGTGCGTGCGCCGTTTAAACCGAACTTCAGCGCGTTTCACCGGAACATTCCATCAATGAAACCTGACACACGAGGAGGCCCCTGACACACGCGAGGAGGCCCCTGACACACACGGGGAGGCCCCTGACACACGGGGAGGGACCTGACACACGGGGAGGGACCTGACACACGGGGAGGGACCTGACACACGGGGAGGGCATCTGACTCAGTATCTCTTCTGCAGACCATGTTCCTGATCAGGACCAGGACCTTCTGCTCCAAACCTCTGCCAGTGCTCACCCTGTTCACCAAGGTACTAAACCAGGACTGAACCAGGACTGAACCAGGACTGAACCAGGACTAAACCAGGACTAAACCAGGACTGAACCAGGAGTAAACCAGGAGTAAACCAGGAGTAAACCAGGAGTAAACCAGGAGTAAACCAGGACTGAACCAGGACTAAACCAGGACTGAACCAGGACTGAACCTGGAGTAACTGAGGTCTCTCTTAGGACCCGTGTCCTCTGTGTGATGAGGCCAAAGAGCTGCTCGAGCCGTTCAGACACAGAGTGAGTCTTTATCTGTCTCTTTGCGTTCTGATTGGCTGTCTCTGTCTCTCCCTGCGCTCTGATTGGCTGTCTCTGTCCCTCTCTGCTCTGATTGGCTATCTCTGTCTCTCCCTGCGCTCTGATTGGCTGTATCTGTCTCTCCCTGCGCTCTGATTGGCTGTCTCTGTCCCTCTCTGCTCTGATTGGCTGTCTCTGTCTCTGCGCTCTGATTGGCTGTCTCTGTCTCTCTCTGCGCTCTGATTGGCTGTCTCTGTCTCTCCCTGCGCTCTGATTGGCTGTCTCTGTCTCTCCCTGTGCTCTGATTGGCTGTCTCTGTCTCTCCCTGCGCTCTGATTGGCTGTCTCTGTCTCTCTCTGCGCTCTGATTGGCTGTCTCTGTCCCTCTCTGCTCTGATTGGCTGTCTCTGTCTCTCCCTGCGCTCTGATTGGCTGTCTCTGTCTCTCCCTGCGCTCTGATTGGCTGTCTCTGTCTCTCCCTGCGCTCTGATTGGCTGTCTCTGTCTCTTCCTGCTCTCTGATTGGCTGTCTCTGTCTCTCCCTGCTCTCTGATTGGCTGTCTCTGTCTCTCCCTGCTCTCTGATTGGCTGTCTCTGTCTCTCCCTGCTCTCTGATTGGCTGTCTCTGTCTCTCCCTGCTCTCTGATTGGCTGTCTCTGTCTTTCTCTGGGCTCTGATTGGTTGTCTCTGTCCACAGTTGGTCCTGCAGACTGTGGACATTTCTAAACCGGAGCACAGAGAGTTCTGGGACCGGTACCGGTTCCACATCCCAGTGTTCCACCTGAACGGAACCGAGATCATGAGACACAGACTGGACCCCGAGAGACTGGACCAGCTCCTGAACCAGGACCAGGACCAGAAACAGGACTGAACCAGACCTGGACCATGACTGGACCAAGACTGACAGAATGTGGGACTGGAGCAAAGGTTTGGACCTGGATCATAACCGGTTTTCAGAGTGTTTTTGTTTCAGTTTTTGTAAATAAACGTGTGTGAAGCTCCTCTGAGTCTTTATTTAAACTGTGTCAGATGCCCTCCCGCGTGTTTCTGTGAGCGAGTCTTAAATGTGCTTCAGGTTCTTTTTCTCCTGTATTTGGCAGTAAAGCCCGTCTCCGCCCGAGTCGAGGCCGACACCTGCCTCATTAAATCACTTCTGGTTCCTTTGGTCGTTCCATCGTGACTTGGAGCTCGTTTGAGTCGCCGGTCGAGCTTCGCCCCTCGTCTTCTTCACTCACCACAAACAGGAAATGACATCACAAATCTCCCTCCCATGATGCATCTCGGTCCGTTTGGTTTAGAGCAGGTCCAACACCAACCAAAACCAACACCAACCAAAACCAACACCAACCAAAACCAACACCAACCAACACCAACCAAAACAACACCAACCAACACCAACCAAAAACAACAACAACCAACAACACCAACCAAAACCAACACCAACCAAAACAACACCAACCAAAACCAACACCAACCAACCAACAACCAACCAAACCAACCAACCAACACCAACCAAAACCAACACAACCAACCAACCAAAAACCAACCAACCAACCACCAACACCAACCAAACCAACACCAACCAAAACCAACACCAACCAAAACCAACACAAAAACCAACCAAAACCAACACCAACCAAAACCAATCCATCTAAGAGCTTCTGGATCCAGTGGAACGAATGGAGAAACTGTCACTGTGAAAGAATCTGAGACTTGGTTTAGTCCTGGGTTAGTCCTCTGTTAGTCTGGTTCAGTTCCTGGTTTAGTCCTGTTCTGGTCCTGGTTCAGTCCCTGGTTTAGTTCTGTTGGTGAAACTTGATCCTCATCTTCATTAAAGTTAATGATTTTGTGTCATTGGCCAATCGTAGCGGGTTTTGGGATCATGTGACTCACGTGTGTGTCGCCATGGAGACGGTGGGGTCATGTGACTCAGGCGTGCGTCACTGTGGAGACGGTGTTTAATGGCGTCCAGGGTCCAGGACCTGAAACTGGCTCTGACCCGGACTAAGGTCCGAATCCAGGGTCTGGAGCTGCAGGTGCACAGGTGAACCAAGACTAAACCAAGACTAAACCAGGACCAGTACAGGACTAAACCAGGACTAAACCAAGACTAAACCAGGACTAAACCAGGACTAAACCAAGACTAAA